TTGCTGTGCGGTGCTGGTCTTGCCGTGCCGTGCTGGTCTTGCCGTGCCGTGCTGGTTTTGCTGTGCCGTGCTGGTCTTGCCGTGCCGTGCTGGTTTTGCTGCGCCGTGCTGGTCTTGCTGCGCCGTGCTGGTCTTGCTGTGCCGTGCTGGTTTTGCTGTGCCGTGCTGGTCTTGCTGTGCCGTGCTGGTCTTGCCGTGCCGTGCTGGTCTTGCTGTGCCGTGCTGGTCTTGCCGTGCTGTGCTGGTCTTGCTGTGCCGTGCTGGTCTTGCCGTGCTGTGCTGGTCTTGCCGTGCCGTGCTGGTCTTGTCGTGCCGTGCTGGTCTTGCTGTGCCGTGCTGGTCTTGCCGTGCTGGTCTTGCTGCGATTTCAGCATTGGATTTTAGCATTGGATTTTAACATTGGAGTTTAGCATTGGATTTTAGCATTGGATTTCAGCATTGGCTTTTAGCATTGGCGTTTAGCATTGGCTTTTAGCATTGGCTTCTAGCATTAGCTTTAAGCATTGGCTTTTAGCATTGGATTTTAGCATTGGACTTTACATTGGATTTTAGCATGGGAGTTTAGCATTGGACTTGAGCATTGGCTTTCAGCATTGGCTTTTAGCATTGGCTTTTAGCATTGGCTTTTAGCATTGGGCTCGACCTTGGAATACCGTGCACCGTGCACTCCACCGAGAACGCAACTGTGCACTTACTGCTGTGCACTTGCGACTTTAGCATTACACACTTACGGTTAACCGTGGGCTTCCATTAGCTCAAGATGGCTCAAGATAGCCTCCGGCATACATGCGAGAAGACCGCCAAGGACCCCCCCAAAGTGGCACGACATTCTCCAAAACCTGAAGAGAAGTGATCAGATGGGCCTGGAGGCCTCAAGATGGCTCCAAGATGGCCCAAGAGAGCCCCTGGAGGGACCCAAGACGGCCCCAAGACGGCCCCAAGAGTGCCCAAGAGCGCCCCGAGAGCGCCCCAAAACGGCCCCAAGACGCCACGCTTGAGCCTCCGATGGGGGGGAGCTAAATTTACTCCCCCCCCCTCTTTCTGAACAGTGAACCCAAAATTCCCCCAAGAGGCCTCCCAAAGCCCCCCAAAGAGCCCCCCCCACATCCCCGTGAAAAACATGTTTTAACAAAAGTGGCACAGGGATGGAAGCCGAAACAATGTTGAACCAGACCAGGCGGGCCCGTCGCATCGAGGGACATCCGCCTGTCAACGTTACGGAAGAACGTATCGTCTGCATTGCGCGGTGCATGTGAGCCATCCGACTGTGGGAACGAAGCCGCAAGGCAGAACGTGGAACCGCCCACGCCAGCGGCCCTGCGAAGGATCAACTTGGAAGAGCACCTTTGCATTCAGTGGCATCCGCCTCCCAATGCTGCCACCAGACACGCAAGCCAGAGTTTGGCATATCCATAACCTGGCCCATGGTGCACGCCTACGCACGCTGCCGACGTTGAAGTGCGCATGTCACTGAATGATCCTCTTTGGGCGTTTGGCCCCACGAAGGCCCCAAGAGAGACCCAAGATGGCTCCAAGAGACGTCCGAAAAAAATCCAAGGCAACTGTTACACAGCATGCTTCTAAACTTCCCGGGTCCTGGTAGCTCGTTTGGCGATCTGCTTATATATGGGCTGGTGAGGATATTTTTTGCCGCGGGCAGACGCGTGAAGCAGTCGCCGAGAGGGGGTCAGGGGCACGGGCCAGCCGAATTTGCTACTGAGCGACGCGCAAGCCGACCGGGCCAGCACTCAGAAGCGGCGGCTGAGGGGCAGCTGCTGGTGGAACTGGCTGGCTGGTTTGCTGGTGAGGATACGCGAAGCGTCAAGAATTTGGACGCCTCTTTGCCAAGATGGCCCACGAGAAAACCAGCAGGCCACCAACTTGCCCCAAGAGACCCCCAAGAAGCCCACAAAGGCCCCAAGAAGGGGCCCGAGCAAACCCCAAGAGGCCCCCCCAAGTCCCGAAGAAGTCCCCAAGAGGCCCACAGAGGTGCTCAAGTCATGGCGGTCCAAGACAGCCAACAGGCCCTCCAGGAGGGGCCGAAGAAGCCAAAATCCCTGACATCCCCAATGTTTATCTATGACGTTCGCGTTTTCGCCTTTTCGGGCATCCAAGGGGCGGCCAAGATAGCCCCAAGACAATCCAACGCCCCCAAAGAGTCTCAAAATGGGACATTAGGCCCCCAAGACGGCGTAAGATACCTCCAGGACGGCCATGCAGCGCCCCACGAGGCCACCAATACGGCCCACGGAGACCCCCAGACGTTCCCTCCAAAGGCGGCCGACGGGCCAACAGAGTCCTGAGACTCCTTCTGCTGTGTGAGAAACGGAGCTCCCAAAAATTCGACCGCCAACAGTTTGGATACGTTGCTTCTCCAAACCATCCCGTGATGTTGGGTCCTCGCTTTGAAAAGAAAGCTACCCCGTAACTCCTCCTTTCCTTTTCCCGCCCCGTCTTCCCTCCTCCCCTCCGTTCTTATGCCATCCACACGTCCTCGTCGTCATCGTCGTCATCATCACCACCATCATCAGCATCGTCATCAGCATTATCCGCCGGCCCCCTTGTGGGGCCACCAGGCTGCGAGGCACGGGTTCGCAGTTTCCAGTACCAGTTGTAGCTTGTAGTTTCCAGTGTTACAGTTCTGCTTCTTGCTGGTTACTGTAACTAGTTGATTGACCGCGCGAGGGGGGGGGAGGCCCAAACACGATTTTTTAGCACCCCCTGGGCGCGTTGTCTGAATTGCTGGGGGGGCTCGAAATCGACACCCCTCACGCAGATCCGCGGGGTCAGGGTCCAAAAACACAGGGGATTTGCCACATTTCTGAAATTCGGTGCCACCCCTCACGCAGATCCGCGGGGTCAGGGTCCAAAAACACAGGGATTTGCCACATTTCTGAAATTCGGTGCCACCCCTCACGCAGATCCGCGGGGTCAGGGTCCAAAAACACAGGGGATTTGCCACATTTCTGAAATTCGGTGCCACCCCTCACGCAGATCCGCGGGGTCAGGGTCCAAAAACACAGGGATTTGCCACATTTCTGAAATTCGGTGCCACCCCTCACGCAGATCCGCGGGGTCAGGGTCCAAAAACACAGGGGATTTGCCACATTTCTGAAATTCGGTGCCACCCCTCACGCAGATCCGCGGGGTCAGGGTCCAAAAACACAGGGGATTTGCCACATTTCTGAAATTCGGTGCCACCCCTCACGCAGATCCGCGGGGTCAGGGTCCAAAAACACAGGGATTTGCCACATTTCTGAAATTCGGTGCCACCCCTCACGCAGATCCGCGGGGTCAGGGTCCAAAAACACAGGGGATTTGCCACATTTCTGAAATTCGGTGCCACCCCTCACGCAGATCCGCGGGGTCAGGGTCCAAAAACACAGGGGATTTGCCACATTTCTGAAATTCGGTGCCACCCCTCACGCACATCCATCGCAAGGCGTGGTAACCCAAACTGCGAGTACTCCCTCGGCCCTTTAATCCCAAGGTGTGGTAACCAAGCTCGTAAACCATACACGTCTTACCAATCGCCCTGTGTGGTAACCCCTCTTGTGATCAGTTGGTTTTGCCGATTGCGAATCGGCCTCGCATGAAGTTCCGATACTGCTGCACGACAGCGCCAAAGCCTCATGACTTAGCTCTTCCATGGCCCATTCTCCGGGAGAGGGGGCCGGCGGCAGGGGGCGAAGCCCTTACGGATAATATTCCACATCACCATCATCAGCATTGTCGTCATCAGCATCATCCTCATCATCAATATCGTGATCATCATCATCCGCATCATCATCATCATCATCATCATCATCATCATCATCATCATCATCATCATCATCATCATCATCATCATCATCATCATCATAATCATCAGCATCGTCATCCCCTTCATCGCCGCCATCGTCACAATCATAAGCACCATCATCATCGTCAGCATCATCGCTGGCATCGCCGACATCATTATCATCATTACCATTGTCTTCATCATCACTATCCCAAACAGCATCATCAGCATCATCAACAACCGCATCACGATCACCATCATAATCATCATCACGGCACGCCCACCCTCGAACAGTCGCCACCCAGAATGATGGGCTGACACGGCGGCGGGACTTGCCGTAGGCATCTGGCATTTTTCTTGTTTTTTTTTGTTCGATTGGCTGGTGGCGATACGCGACGCGTCAGAAGTACTTCCTCACGCCAGCACGCCACAAGACCACTTCTGGTAAGCCTGCCAGGACGCTTGAGACACTTGTAAGCCAGCAGGCGCAAGCGAGTCGAAGCTGGTGCAAGCGCCGGTCGGGCTACGGGCGGGACACGCCAGGAACGAACGAGGGCACAGCAGACGGAAAGGGATGCGGGGGAAGCCAGAGACACACACGGCTGGATTCGCATGCAGAACATGCGGAGGCCACGCCCCGGATACACACGCGCAGAGGGCCAGCGTACCCAGCCACACGAGGGGCGAGCCCTGAAAAGGCATGCGGCCATGTGTATCCCATTCCGCCCCCCGGACAGCCACTTCGTGCTTGCTCGGATGTCGATTAGAAAGCACTGCACACGCAGCCCTCTCCACGTGAGGTCTGCGCAACGCGTCGTCGCATTCTTCCTCTCCTCCTCCTCCTCCTCCTCCTCCTCCTCTGCCTCCTCCTCCTCTGCCTCCTCCTACTCTGCCTCCTCCTTCTCCTCCTCTTCCTCTCCCTCCTCATCCTCTTCCTCCTCTACTCCTCCAATCCCGCCTCCTTTTCTGTAAATGATCCTCGCCTTCTCCCTCGGCCTAGCTTCTCGTCCTCCTCAGTCCCTGCAAGCTTCTCCTCCTTCGCATCATCCTTCTCATCATCAGCCTCTCCTTTGTTCTGCACTGACTACTCCGTAATGCTGCATGTCCTCCTCCTCCTCTTCGAGATCATAACCGCCCTCACTCGCCTTCTCTGCCTCTTCCTCTTCCTCCTCATCCTCATGCTCCAACTCCTCCGATGCCTCGCCTCTCCGTGACAATCCTGCATTGACCAGAGCGCGTACTCGTCGGTGCTCAGTGG